ATATCATTAATGCTGATTTATAGGTCTCGAACAATTTTTATATGCAAGTAAAAGTAAATCTAACCACATATAGAAGACAAATCGATGAGAAAAGAAAGTCATTATTTTTATTGAAGATAATCGATGTCTTGTAATTGCATGTTCTTGAGACCAATGAAGATCAAAAAGATGCATAAGAGCTTATTAATATTAATGATTTGTTAGTTTTCGTAAATCAAAATAAAAATTTAAAGTAATGTGGGTGATGTGGGTACGTAATATGGGTAATAGGGCACAAGACAGATCAAGAAAATGAAGTTGTTGGTCCATGTTGGTCCGTGTCATAGAACGCAAGGGTTAAAAGCAAATACCATTGGAGATAAAAATATTTACAAAATTTTTATGCAATAGTTTATAATTAATAACTTTAGTCGGATTATTTAAAAGTCTTAATTTTTTTAAAAAAAAAATCTACAAAATCTAAAAAAATCGTGGGGTTCTTATCATTCTTTAAGATCATCTATGTTTGATTGTTTATATTTATGCTTATAATCTATGAGAATGGATGGTATACTTGATGGTATTTTTATGTATAAAAAAATGATGTCACGATGAAACCCTCGAACCAAAGGTGCAGACCTATTCCATGATTAATATATATATATATATAATATATATATATAAGTATATATATATATATAATATATATATATAAGTATATATATATATATAAGTATATATTTTTATTTATTCTACGACTGGTTGAAGGAATATGTATAAAATGTATAAGGCGTAGCTCCTGCATGTAAACTCTACAAGGCGTTGGTAAACTAATTATTTATTTATTTATTTTTTTCGCAGGGTTTTACAGGGCATTTTAATATTTCTAACAATATTTAAAAACTTCAGGAAACTTATTGATTGTTTTATTTTTGAGACAAGGTAATTTAATTAAATTAAAATAAAATTAAAATGATTAGAATTACTCATCGGTGGTTTAAGAGGTAAGTAGTTTTATTACTACTTGCAGTTCTTAAATGCATCTAGTGATTTGATAGAAGCCTCGTGGCGCTACTTATGTATACTGCAAACAATAATAATAAGGTAAGTATATGTGCTGTGCTCTAGTGTGTAATCGATTCATTGATAAGCAATGTATCCATTTCTGGAGTGTGAAATTTACCACGGAGAAATTAATCGTGGGTTCTCGTGAATCATTAATCAATCACTTTTTTTTTAAAAAAAATAATAACGATCATAAAAATAAAATAATGAAAAACGAGTCGCATTTGTTTTTTATTTCATAATTGCAAAAAAAATTACTAAGTGTTACTGTATATCAAATCTAATTCTTATTTTCTATTGTAAATCTTATTGAAATGCTATTCCTTTTTTTTTTGGTTTTTTTTTTTTGTTATTTTTTTTTGATGTATATTTTTTTTTTGGCGCACACCGCATCTTAAAAGATCTTTTGGTCTTTTTTTTTTTGTCGTTTAAAAAAAATATGCGTACGTACGAATGTTCATGTGAAAAAGAAAATCATAACCATCATCATAGCATAATGTGTGACGTATATAAAAAAGAAAAGAAAGAAAAAAAAAAAAGAAAAAATGTTCATGAATAATAATGTCCGCCAAATTTTTCGAATTATATGTTACATTAAGAGAAATACGAATAAGGGTGGTAATGTATCGTATCATCATAGACCAAAGGTTGAGAATTTTCGCAGGTTTGATCATAAAATTGATATTGTAGATCAGACATAAGTTGACCATAAAAAAGATTAGCATTACTTTGAAAGTAGTTGTAATCATAGTAATTATTATCTTGATCGACTAATTGAAATTCAGATGGTAAGGAACCATCTAGACTGAATTCGTTAAATTCATACGTCGGTGTATAAATACTCGGTGAAATATTAATAGATGCCATGTTATTATAAACGATATCTTGTGTGTTTGATAAGTCTTCTAATATAATCGAACTTGAATCTGAAAGAGGTGTACTAACAGATGTGGCAACGGATGAAGAGTCATGTTCCGAATGTTGATATTGTGGAATGACCTGCAGCCAAGTTGTCGGAGGAACTTGAACTTGTTTAACTACTCGGTTTTGAGTTTTATTACGAGGTTGACGTTTTCTACGTGGGATCTTATTGGAATATAATTTAAGATGCCGGCTTTTCGCTTCATTTGCAAGACGTCTATATTCCTATATAATTTAAAATATAATTTTTAAGATGTTAATTAATAATAATAATAATAATAATAATAATAATAATAATAATAATAATAAATAATTTAATTATATAAATTTTATAATTAATTATACATAATTAATTATAATTAATTAAATATTTACCGATTTAACCTCTTCGCATTCGACTTTCCAGCTCGCTGAGGCCATCGAAGAAGCCGTTGTCATCGGTAGGTAGTGACCTTGACGATGAAGCTCATCTACATACGCTTTGCGATAAATCATAAAGGCATTAGGAGATCTTGAAGGCATATCCCCATTCTTCTTATGAACTATTAGATCCGTTGTACTGATTTTTGGTGGGAAAGGAAGTTTCCCAATAAATGAAACATCGGTAGATTTTAATTCAACAGGTTGTTCATCGGTACTTTGAACAAACGGTTTATAATCAAGACTGTTGCTTGAAATAGAATCTTTTCCTGTTGTTTCCATTATCAACATGGATTTCATATACAAATCTGCTCTATAATTTATTGCACGGCCAAAGTGAGCTTGAGAATTTTTAGATGGATGAAAAATGAAGGGGTATTTATGCGATTTTCCTCCTAATTATAAGCCTTGTTTGTTCTTCACCAACTTGCAATTGTTTTTATTTATGTTAATGTTCCAGTTACAAAGGTCGAATAAATGCGTAACCATTAATATTAAGACATCTGTTAAATAAATAAATATGATGCGTTAAGTTTGCATATAAAAAAAAAAAAAAATGACAATACTCCTGTAAACAACGGCCTGGGATTAAATGGGTTTGTTGACTTTTCCTTGTCAGTGTTGTTGATCCGTCGAATATTCGAGTATTGTAATACTTTTCTATAAACAATCGTACTGTAGAAAAAAATATTTGAAGACAATGTCCAAATATTCTAAATATTCTTAATATATTCTTTGAATATACATACTTGAATAGTTTATTATCATCATATCACGTAATATTTTTTTTTTTTCAGAACATTAACCGAGTTAACTATATTTGCAAAAACACATGACTATTATAAAAATATATATTGTTATATTGTTATTACTGTTATTACTATATCAATTTTTTTTTTTTTTTTTTTTTTTTTTTTTGCGTATAAATTTTATACAATTAAAAAATAAAAAAATAAAAATAGTATAACATAATTAACATAATTAACATATAATTTAAATACAATGCATATTAAATAAAAAATGTCATGAAGAGTAAACGCGTCAGTCACCTTTAATCATGTCTCATTGGTCTAATACCGATTTTTTTTTGCATCACATCAACTTAATTTATGTGCATGAAACATCGTAAACACCGCGCCAAAAAAAAAAAAGAAAAAAAAAAAAACATTGATTATCTTATTGTTTAGTACTCCCCTTTTGAAGATCCTTTATTATTTGGTAAAAACATGTGTATAGATTTGTTCTTTTTGAAACGAGTCTATTTTGCTCTATGGTATGCATTTGGTTATTCAGTTAATTTTTTTTTACACTATATTTTTTATACTAAATATATATATATATAATATATATATACAATATATATATAATATGTGTATTACACTATTATATTGTTGATTATTGATCAATCTTGACCAATCAAATTTAATCTTTGCATTACTCTTTTTAACCAAAAGTTTGTTAATGGAAACAAATGAAACATATATGATAAAGATATTTTTGATGTACATTTTGTGATTTTAGCATTTATTATATTTATTATATGCGAATTATCTTGATGTTTACAAATTTACACGCATATATTCTTTATATTCGTTATATTCCTGTATTCGTTATATTAGTTATATTTTTTTTTTATCATATTATATCATATTATATTCTTTATCAGTTATGTCAGTTATACGTACGTATTTCATTATTTAGAGTAATGGATACTGTAAATTTTTATTTTAATATTGCAGCAATGAGCATACATAACAGACAAGTACGTACATACATACATACGTACGTACAATATTTGTTTGTGGGTGTTATATTATGCATATCTGGCTATACTGTTGGCGTAAAACAAAGTCCAGAAGAGTGGTTCTCGTGAGAAAAGATCGATTATTCGTTAAATTTTTTATATCTTTTATATGGCTAACAGTTTAAAGGTTTCACAACTTATTTCCTAAACATTAATGCCGAAATTCTTATCGGACCAATATTTTGGATTAAGTAAAAAATAAACTTGTCATTTTAATATTTAATATATTCGTGTGACTCGACTGATTTATTTTGATTTATTTTGATTTATCTTGATTTATTTGATTTATTGATGTATTGATTTACACTTCTTTTCTGACACTAACATCACTTCGGAAAAATACTTATGTAAACTCTCAATAATGATCTATCAACCTTTTTTTTTTTGTTGATTGTTTTCAGTGTTACACATTTACTACATTTACTACATTTACTCCATATTTATATCTTAAATACTGTATCTTTATAAATAGTTTTTATTGGTATTGGATCCGTGATATTATTTAATTTGGTTTTACTTGCAGAATTACAATATTTGATTTTGACTATTCTAAATGGTTAGTCATATCATAAACCCGAATACTTATTTTGAACCAATCTTAAATTTTGAAAATTTTCCGCATCAAATTAAAATTTATAGATTGCTTATTCGATTTTATGACATGACTGTCACTCAACGGTTAGCTTAAAAATAAGGCGGCTCGATCTTTTTGACAGCATATATTATAACCACATACACATAAAAGGCTTTTATAATCTTTTTTTAAGGCAAGTATTTTCTTGAACTACGCTAAAGAATCTCATTCTTTCGTCGATCGATCTTTCTTTCGATCTTTCTTTCTTTCGTCATTGTATAAACTATTCTCACATCATTGATCACTGATCACTGATCACTGTACTGTGAATAACTGTCAAAATTGCCAAAAATTGCCAAGTGTAATACAGTATAAAAATACTGTATAATAACGTTAAATCTCTCTTTTTCTTAAATTTGATTCTCCGTTTCTCACTTTAAAAAAAATACTAAAATAACTAACATTTCACCTAAATTAAAAGTTTAGGTATTACATACTGTACATACATATGTGCACTTAAAGTTGCTGTCCAATTTGGTAAATAATAAATACTAGAATATGTACAGTGATTTAAAGACCAAATTTAGTGATTTGTTCATAAATTTGTAATTTTGAACCCTGTCGCACGAATATTTTTTATTAATAGTAATCAATCAACGTCCTTGAGTTATCGGTCTCGGCTTTTTTTTTTTTTTTAAACTCTCCTCAAATAATTCGCCGAAATAATTTGCCCGATTCTTTTGGTGAATTTTAGTTAGTTATTTTGGTTCCTCTTGGACAACGAACATGTGGGATGGTGTAATGCAAAGAAAAAAAAAAGGGGGAACTAAAAAAAAAAAAATTTTTTTCAGCGTACAATAAATCCATATTGCGATGAATTCCATCTAATTGATTGATTATAAAAAAAAATATATCTATTTTTCGCAATATTACCCTTTACACATTGACATGTAGCTTTAGCTAATTCGTATTTAATTTGGGCTTTGTGTTCATTTTAAGGGTGAGAAGAACAAAACTCGTACATTATAATCATTGTGAATTTTTCTTACTGTTGATTATACTCAACAATGCTATGGTCTGAACTTTTATAAAAGTATTATATGCACATTGACTTTGACCGCATGAACATGTGTCAAAATATTCTGTGCGTTGTCGATCTTTAAACAAGCATCGGATTTGTGCACGTGACGGGCTTAAAATTGGCGATAAAATATTCGATATTATTTTCCCCACAGGGAAGTGCTGTAAGATTTTACCATATTGGGTAATGTTTCATAATAACTAAAGCCATTGGAAATATTTTTGTATAAAAATGTTTATTGTTCTATATTATCTATTATCTATTATCTATTAATGTATTATTTAAATTATTTTACCCACGTGTTGAACATCCCAATCATCTGTGTCATGTAAACACGCGTCTTTTCTTTGAGCTTTTTTTCCTTTTTATAGTTTTTATAGTTTATATAGTTTATATAGTCAATACTCCCTATACTATTCTATTATACTCTTGATGTTTACTAGTAAAATAATGTTCATTTAGGTAGTTTACTATATTTTTAATCCAAATTTTTTAATAAAATTTAAGCTTCAGTATATACGTTAAACGTCACTTTAAATTTTCGTTAATTAAAATTAAATGTGCATTGTTTTGAATTTGTAATTTATTTTCTTATACATATTTAAAAGTTAGCGATTATGATTTTTGCAAGTTTTACAGTATTTTAAAGTTTATATTTTTGTATAGAGTAACCAAATAACATTAAAATTTTCTACTTCAAGTTCGAAATCAAATAAAAAAAATTGCCAAATGGGCTTTTTTAGTACGCAACATCCCATATATTTTAAATAATTTACTTTTTAAAAGTAGTTTATACTTTCTTTTGCACTTTTATATTATAGCTTTTTTTTCTGAGCTACTTTTATTTTATTATTTTGTTTCGTTGCTTTATTATATTATCTTTATTATATTATCTTTATTATATTATCTTTATTATATTATCTTTATTATATTATCTTTATTATATTATCTCTATTATATTCTCTTTACTATATTATCTTTATTATATTATCTCTATTATATTATTTTTACTGTTTTGCTTTTACTATATTATTTTCACTATATAATCTTTTTATTTGTGCTATATTGTTTTTTACATTATCAATTTTTTTTTAATATACTATAGCACAGTGTTGGACAATGATGTCATACAAATGACAGAACTCATATGATTTGTCGCATTACAATATCACATGAAGTGTCATATATTAATATTTATGACACAATTTATATCATATGACATATATTTCATATGATTCATATGATTCTATATCATATGAAAATATCATATGACATTATGATATAGTCATTATTCAACACTGCTATAGCATATAATTTTTATAAAACTTATTATTATTAATACATATTATATTAATAAAATTTGTTATATTAATCTGTTATATTAATTTGTTATATTAATTTTGTTATATTAATTTTGTTATATTAATTTATATATATATTATCTAAGACTATACAAATTAATTACTTGGTTTTTATAATATAAAACTTTTAAATAGACCCAGTTAGCTTGTTTTTTTTAAAATTTAATATATAAAATTTTATAAAATTTATATAAAAAATTTTTTAAAACCCACCTGGTTATTAAAACATATAAAAATTATTTTTTTGAACTTCTCAAATTTTGACTTGGCCAGATTATAAAAACTAATTAATTAATTTTGCATGATCTAATTTTGCTACTATTTATTTATGTTTTCTATTTATAAATCTAAAATACTTTATTAATAATTCTAAAATAAAATTATAAATTAATTTTAAATATTATTAGTTTTAATTTTTTTAAATTGTTTTTTTTTAGCTATTTTTTTAAACAGCTTATTTTAAATTTAATTTTTTAAAAAATACTTTTGAATATTTTTTGTAAAAGATATATATTTTATATAAAAAAATATCTTTTTAGCTAATAATAAACTATAGAATAAATGTATAGATCGCACTCTGTGATATATTTAGATATTGCCCGACCAATAGAATATATATTATATGATTAGGTAGTGTTTTTGACAGTACTATTTAATTTTTGTAGCTCATCCTTTTGAAGTCGTCACTTCGTTGGAAGTTGTCATATCTTTTGGAGTATTGTCTTTTCTTGGTGTTTTTTATCACTTTGGAGTTATTGTTCTTGAAGTCTCTTTAGAACTGCTATTGTTGAAATCATCGTTGGAGTTGCTGCTTTTGGAATTATTGTTTTTGGCATCTTTTTTTAATTTTTGTTTTTTTTTGTTTCTTATTAACTTTCATTTGTAGTTTTTTTGAGTCATTGTGATTTAGTGTACTGTCTTTCCCAGTGCTTCTTCATTGTCTTTTCATCTTTAGGGTTATCATAACTTTCGGTATTTCATCATTTTTTCAAAATTTTTGTTGTTAAAATAGTCATTAGTGTCATTGTTTTTGGCATCTTTTTTAGGCTTTGTTCTTTTACAAACTTTCGTTTTGTTTTTTGTAGCTCTTTTGAGTCGGCATAATTTCAATCTTTGGAGTCATCATAGCTTTTAGTGTATCATTTCTCTTTTGAACTAATGTTGTTGAAATTGTTATCGGAGTCGTCACTAGAGTTATTGTATTTGGTGTTCAATAGTGTTTTTTTGGGATTTTCGTTTGGTTCTATTGCTCTTTTGAGGCATGATTTCATTTGTATCAGTTATTTTAGAGTTGTTGGTTTTTTTCTGTTTTTAAACATTGAGGTTAGAGTTTTAAAAATTAGAATAAGATTTGTGAGTGTGTTAGGGTTAGAGTTTAGAGTATTTCAATCTAGCAGTTAGATGTTTTTATTTCAAAATATTTGTTATTATAGTTACTTCCATAAATTTTGAGACATATGGTATGCAATTGATGTGGCTGATCTGATAAGTTCCTGACTCAACACCAATTAGCATAATTAGTATATATAACGGTATTTAATACATAGCAATAATATGCTAAACAATACTAAATGTCAATATATTCAAAATTAAGGTTTTGTCTGAATTCAGCTGCCTAATACAAAAGTATCAGAGCAGCATTTTGTCTTGAATTGATCACAGTATATAGTATTGTGATTTATCGTATTTTGTATATGATTTTATAATATATTAATGTAGTATTTGCGATTAGTAACTATTAGTAGTATTTAGGGAAAATATCTTCTGATTTTCTGCTAATCTAACTTTGGTTTTTTTGCTCCACCCTTTATGACTCTCATATATATGTATATGATCGTATAGCGATATATAAGTGTATTACACCCAGATACAAAATAAAAGTGCTACACAGGGGTGCAATATCTAGATTAATTCTAAACTATAATAGAGTTAAAAAGTTTAATACAAATATTTATTTTTTAGAAAATTATTTTTTTAATAAAAATCTTAATATTATAAATTATTTTAATATTTTTCAGCTAATTAATAAAAATATTTTTGGAGGTGTGGTGACTTAGTGTAGTAGTTTAGTCATCACTCTCTCCAAGTGGCAGGTCTAGAGTTCAAATCCCATGGACGATGATATTTGAAAAATAGGCTTGTGTTCAGTTGACGGCTATGCATATTGGTTGGATCTAATCTGTAACTTCGGTCACACCATCTAGTAATAGGAGCAATGGTGCAATAAATCTGAGAAACCGGCATAACCAAAAACCCATTTGGGAAATCCTGAGTTAGGAGTAACAATGATCTTTAATGGTATCACAAGAGGGCTGAATTCAAACCAAAGCCCAAGATCAGAGAACCGAACGACCAGGTTCTAATAGCAGAGAACACACCAGCCGAACTGCTATGTTGTTGCACTGGAGGAAAAGGACATATGCTTCGAAAGTATATACCAAGAAGAGGGTGTCTTTCAAGTACTTAAAGCCTGGGCAGACTGTCCCTTCTGGGTTGCCGGCTAGAAGTAAAGGAGAGACCGATAAAGAATCCGGGTAAAAAGATGGTCCAAATGCAGGTATTAGGGTTGTTGGGAATCTAATAAGGGTGGAAGTAGGTAATCACAGGGGTTCAATAGTTAGCCCTGACCCCAAGTACATGGATAGAGCCGTGGCATAGGTTACTGAAGTCTAGATAAAAGAACATATATGTGGGATATATGATATCTAGCAAAATGGAAATATCCCACCATCTAATGATCCGGAGGTACCCGGAGCTGGGGTAAGCAAACCTCACGGGATGTGAGGACCAATGATGAAGTAAATTGGAGTTAATACGACTATACTGGGCTGTAAGGTTTAGTACGTCTCACTTAAGGTGGTTCTAGAAATTCAGGAACTGAAACACTACAGGGGAGGGACTTAAGACATCTGCGATAGGGGATGACTAATTAGGAAAGTTATGGCTTGAGATACAGATCGGGTTTCGGCAGTGCCTTAAAAGGTAGTTTGAGATACGAACTTGGTGATGGCAGCATAACAGGTACTAGTTAGAAATTTGAAACCAATAATGTACTGAAAATCTTGTAAAAATAATGTACATTCATGTATATTCCACTATAATGAGTAATAAAGAGACAGCGTCGTTAAAAAAAAAATAATAATAAAAAATAATATATATTCCACTAAATATTTAACTAGGATATAATTAGCTTTCCTTGAAGCCAGCTTTAGTTACAAATTTAAGCAAGTTTAATAAAACTAAGCTGAATAAATAGTCTAAGCTATAATTAAAACTATAACTTTAGACTATAATTTAAGCCAAAATAAGATAGCTTAAGCTGTGACTTAAAGTTATTAGCTTTAGCTATAGATTAAAATTAGTAAGTATCTATTTTTATTATAGAAATTTACTATTTTAATTATAATTTTTACATAACTTTTAGTTACTGTATTGTTATAATAAATTATAGCCAATAGTGTAAATAGTAAATTCTACTGTATAGTAAAAAAAGTGTTTTCTAAATTATTGGCTTTAGCAATAACTAGAACTCTTATCAGGTTAGACTTATATGAGTTAGTTTTTAATTAATTATAAGTTATAAGTTGGCCCAACTTGAGTTAAACAAGTTACTAAAATTAATAGTTAATATCAAACTAACAATCTGGTAAACTCAAATTACAAGATTAAGTAATTTTTTGGTACAAAGTTTAAAAGTTCTAGTTCAAGTATTTATTATACTATATAGTATAAACCAATAAAATTTTGTAAAGTTTATTCTTTAAATGCTTAAAGTAATCTACATAATTATTGATAGTTTGTTAACCCAAGTAGTAGCTCTAAATAAAGTCATTAAATCAACTTTATGTAAAAATCTTTGATTTTCTATAACTCAAATTAATATCTAATCTACCTAAGTAATTATTTTCTTTCTCTGATCTGGTTACTTGTAGCTTATTTTGAACATTTAAATTATCAAATTTTTTTTATATTTGCCTAAAATAGTGCAAACAATAAAACTAAATAGTAAATAGTAAATAGCTATTTTAATTACTTAGAGTTTTTGTAAATTAATACAAATAAACAAAACTAAATAGTAAATAATTTTTTTTTTTTGGTATTAAGGTGATCTTCATTGGCCTGGAAAACTTTTTATTAGAGTATAGATGGAGTTTTATAATGTAATTATTACAATGGTACATCAAGCCTCATGTGCACCTTTGAGTACCTAATTTAAGTAGTCTACCTGAAGGTTCTACACTATCTGCCGTATCTGCACCTCAACTAGGGGAGTACCTATTTAAACTATCTAGTTCTAACTACTTCTATTTGCTCTCTAACCTAATAGGTCTCTTTACTAAACTAAGTAGATATTGGTATCACCCAAACTAGATTTAGCACACTGCTTTAGGACTTACTAACCCATATAGACCTAGTCTATCCTCGAGATAAACCTAATATAGCAGTATATGTTCCACATATATATTCATATGCTTGTTTCTATAACTTCTTTTTAATTAGTATATATTGACCTGCTGTTTCATATTTGTATCTCATGCCACCTTTTGAAATGCTGCTATTTTACAAATATTTCTTAAGTACTAATTTTCCTAATTAGGTATCCATTATATACTTCTTGCTCTTGTTCTAATTCCCAGCAACTCTAGTACCTGCATTTAAACTGTCTTCTTACCTGGATTCTTTATTAGTTCCTTCCTTACTTTCAGCTAGCAACCTGGAAGAGTCGGTCTATATAGGCTTTAGGTGCCCTCCTCTTGGTCTATACTTTCAGAGCATATATCCTTTTTCTCTAGTGTGACAACCTGATGGTTTAGCTAGTATGCTTTTGCCATTAGGACCTGGTTGCTTAGTTCACAGATTTAGGCCCTGGTTTGAATTTAGCCCTCCTGTAGTACCTTTGTAGATCACTGCTATCTCCAAACTTGGGGCTTGCCAAACAGGTTTTTAGTTATTCTAGTTCCCTGGATTTATTGTGCTAAAGCTTCCATTACTAGATGGTGTGACCAAGGTTATGAATTAATCTAGATCCAACTGATAGAATGCCATCAACCATACACAGGCCTACTTTTCAAAATTATCAGTAGTGAAATTTAAATTCTAGATCTGCCACTTGAAGAGGGTGATGACTAGACTACTACACTAAGTTACCACACCTCACTAAATAGTAAATAGTGAATAGCTATTTAGATTCTTTGTAGTTAAAACTAAATTAATGCAAATAAACAAAGAAAATTAAATAGTAAAAAGGTTGAGCTATGATTTAAACTAGTTTAAACTATAGTTCAAACTATGGTTTAATTTAGCTTAAGCCAAACCAAATTTAAAAATTATAATAAGTTTGATTTGAGTTTAATTTGAAGTTTGCAAACTTGTTTGGGTTTGAGTTAATAAAGTAAAATATATTAATTAGTTATTTAACTCTTTTTAATCTTTTTTGCCTATGTATTATAGATTATTTTCTTTGAGTTAACATTAAGTTAACAGATTGAAAAGACAATCTAAGCACTAATGTATTACCTATTGGCAATTCAATGAATTACTGATTTAGAATATTATAGGTGTGGATACTAATATATCTTAAATTGTAAGAACAGAACAAGAACATATGCTAATATATATTTAGACTAGCTGGCAGCCCAATTGCAACCTTTTCTGGAAAGCTTGCCATATTTGTACTCTCTTTACTCTTTCTTTTTGCAAATCTTTCATAATAACAGCCAGCTAGTATTAGGTATGTGAAACTACTAGCCAATGATATGTATTGCTAATCTATTCACAAAACCTCTATCTATAGCCAGCTTAGTTTATATGAGTTGAAAACTACTAGCTGATGCTACAAATCATAGTTAATTTATATAATAATTGCACTGATGCATACTATATATCTATTTTAGCAATTTTATAAAGTTTATTATCCACTCCAAACAAATATAAAATCCAATATATGTACTATACAAATCTATATACATATGCATCTAAAAATTTTTTATTATATTCAGGTTGTATTTATAATTTTTTAGTTATATAGTATGCCAAAATCAATACATACTGTTATAGGTTTTGTACTAAAAAACTCATAATAACTTCAGTCTATATTAGATTTATTTTAATTTTTTGAGGTTA